CGTCCGTGTGCATGTGCAGATCGACACACGCTGACCCCCAGGAGTGGTGGTAGTGACCATCGCATCCTGAAGGGCAGCGGTACTCACCAAGTTCGTAGAGAACGAGGGGAGGTGAAGACCTGACAGTGAGCCAGACGGAACCGCCGGACACGGGAGGACAGTGGAGGAACTAAGCTACTGTTGCCGCTTGCCTGGAGCGTTCCCTGCCCTGCCATGGGCTGCTGCGGTGCTGCTGCGCTGCTGCTGCTAGGCTGCTGCTGCCGCCTGCGCTGCTGCTGCCACCTGTGCTGCTACTGCTGCGCTGCTGCTGCTGCTCAGCTACTGCTGCTAGGATGCTGCTGCCGCCTGAGCTGCTGCTGCCGCCTGCGCTGCTGCTGCCGCCTGCGCTGCTGCTGCCACCTGTGCTGCTGCTGCTGCTGCTGCTGCTGCTGCTGCTGCTGCTGCTGCTGCTGCTGCTGCTGCTGCTGCCGCCTGCGCTGCTGTTACTGCTGCGCTGCTGCTACTGCTCAGCTGCTACTGCTCAGCTGCTACTGCTGCTAGGCTATTGCTGCCGCTTGAGTTGCTGCTCCCGCCTGAGCTGCTGCTCCCGCCTGCGCTGCTGCTGCCACTTGTGCTGGTGCTGCTGCTAAGCTGTTGCTCCCGTCTGCGCTGCTGCTGCTGCTGCTGCTGCTGCTGCGCTGCTGCCACCTGTGCTGCGCTGCTACTGTTGCTAGGCTGCTGCTGCCGCCTGAGCTGCTGCTGCCGCCTGCGCTACTGCTGTCACCTGTGCTGCTGCTGCTGCGCTGGTGCTGCTGCTAAGCTACTGCTCCTGCCTGCACTGCTGCTGCTGCTAGGCTGCTGCTGCCGTCTGAGCTGCTGCTGCCACCTGCGCTGCTACTGCCACCTGTGCTGCCGCTGCTGCCGTAACTGCCGCTTCTGCTGCTTGCTGTCGTTCCTGCTACTATGGCGACTCCCATTGTTCTAGCCTTTGACACAGTGGGGCACCCTCTAGGGTTCGACTCCTGGCTAGAGGGGCTGCACCTGTACCTCCATAGTGTCACTCGCGATGACGTCTCACTGTTCGAGCACACGTCGGGGTCTCTTCAGGCCCCCAAGGCTCCTGCTGAGCCTGCTGCTGACGCTGGGGAGGAGGTGCAGACGCAGTTCCGCGCAGCTCACATTTCCTACAAGCGGTGGATGGCGCGAGACGCCGCCGCCACACTTGCAGTCCGCCTTCACCTCTCGTTCGACCAGAGAGCCAACTTTTGCCAGGTGCCGTCGGCCCATGCTATGTATTCCGCTGTGGTTAGGCGCTACTCCCCCCCCCCCCCCCCCCTCCTGCAGTCCTAGGCTGTCTTGCGCTGCCTCGTACCTTCCCTGCGCTGTCAGAACTCATCACTCTAGCTAACGAGGGTGGTCGTAGTGGAGCTGGCGGGAGTGGCGTTGGCGGGAACCAGGAGTTAGAGCCTTCGTGTGTCGCTGCTTGTGCGCCAACTAGCACAGACTATGCGCACCCCTCCACTATTCTCTCGTGTCTCGTATTCCCGTTTGCCTCCTCTGGCTCGACCGAGGGGGGTGACCCTACTGCTGCCGACATAGCGAACTCTCGCCGCTCGCCGCGCTTGGAGACACCTCCGGGTTTTCCGCCTCGGACGTCTTCGCCTCCTCTGCAGCCTGTCGCTGCGGACTTCGGGGGCCCAGGTGTTGTTGGGGGTGGTGACGCTGGGGGTGCTGGTTCTGGGGGTTCTGCCTCTGGGGGTGCTAGGAGTCCTCTTGTTGGTGGAGTTGGAGGTACTGGCGTTGGAGGTGCTGGCGCTGGAGGTGCTGGGTCTGGGGGTGCATTGCAGTCGCTGCCGCGGCGGCCTATCTTCTTGGAGCAGCCGTCGTCGTCGCTACCTGAGCTGATGCCCACTTGTACTACTCCTCCTCTGTTGTTTCCGCCGCCTAACTCCCCACTGCCTGCTCCTGCTCGATACGTCCCGTTGTCCGTCTCCCTGACTGGGTGTCGGGAACCCGTGTCTTGTGCCGCCTCCCCTGCTCCCTCTCGTGTTACTCGGGAGCCTGTTGTCCTACCGTTACCTCCCCCGTCTTCTCTTCCTGCTATTCCTGACCATGTGTCTGACCTTGCTCATGCTGCTTACCCGACTATCCCTTGTTGTCTAGCCACGCTTGTGACTGCACCTGCTTCTTCGCCTGCTGCTGCTTGTGCCTTAATAGCTGAGCTCGCAGGCTTTGTCGCTACTTGCAGCCGTGCCTACCTTGCTGGTCTCGTTTCTGCCTCTTCGTGTCCTCCGTTCGTCGAGGGTGAGCTTGCCCTTGGCTGTGACGTCCTTGAGGACAGACAGTTCGAGCTGGAGTACCTGCCGTACCCTCTCAGCATCCGGACTCGCTACGTTGCGCCCGGGAGACACCACCCTGCGCATTGGCGGGCTGCTAGGAGGGTGCTGCGCTACCTGGTCAGACTAGCGAGCAGAACGTAGCACTTTGAACTTTGTTCCTTTGCTGTGCGAGTGTTGCACCAGCGTTCCCAGCTTCGCGTTTGTACGTGGCCACACGGGCCAACACTACTTGTCTCTTGACCTTGTCTTGTACTTTGATATATAAACCTGCATGTTTCTGGTTGCTAGGTTGTAATCATTGTACTGCTTGCTTTATTATAAATCTGCATGTGAACTGGCCTTGTGGTCGCTTGCTAGTGCTCAGAGTGCGTGGTGATCTTGAGATCCACCCTGAGCTTGCTTTGCTTTGTTTCTTCTCTTGACTGGTCTTGTGACCGCTTGTTGTGTTTGCTATCCCCCACTTCGCCTATGCGGGTGTGTCAAATTATATGTTTACTACTATCTAGGATGTAGTGGGTTTAGGACATTAAGTTGCTCTACACTTCATTGTATCCCCCTCCTTGTCCTAATCCATGTCATTCCTTCCTGCCTAACTCAACATGGTATCAGAGCGAAGGTCTCGGGTTCGAATCCCTGTGTGTGCACTTTGGGCATCCCAGTGCGGGGGGGTGTCAGAGATCCACTGGTGATCCCCGATTGATCCTAGGGAACGGTTATAGGCATGTTGGCCTGGGGGGTTATGGGCGCACTAACCCGCTACTTAACAAGCCTTTTTATCCCAATGGTCTAGTGGTTGGGATTCTGACACTTGGGATTGTGCTTGTTGTGCTCGTGCGACGTCATTCGTCATTCTGCAGGGATGTGCGTTCCACCGTCAGCGCCGCGATTTCTTTAGAGCTTTCGCGGAGTTGCTGCAGCAGTTCGTTCAAACGGTTCTGCGTGAGCGTCGTGACGCCGATATGTTCAGCCATAACGAAGGGCGTCGGCTCAGCTTAGTCTAGGCGCAGTCGTGGCTGCACGCGTTTACGAGAGAACGCGAGGACAGTGGCTCCTAGGTGCTAAGGGGCGTGAGTCCCTTCGAGTGAAAAAACAAAAGCTGATTTCCTGGGGTGCGAGGATGCGCGGTCCGAAAGAAAGTGGCTCTGATAACGAAGTGTTACGGGTGCAATGAATCGAGGTAGCGAGGATTGCACTAGAGTGTTCAACGAGTACAAAGTATGAGCGAAGGCATGAGCGAATACTTATACACGAAAATGTGCAAACGGTAACGCTGTGCGTGCGAGCTAGCTAGTGCTACGCTGGCGCGAGGTTCGGGCTAGTCCCGAAGCGTAGGCCGACTCGGCTGCTCCAGCAGTGCGAGGTTTGGTGAAACAGTGCGCGTGAAGTTGGCGAAGCCCTGTTAGCAGTAACGGGCGAACAACGGCTGCTGCTGTACGCGATGTGGACGGTCGCGATAAGGAATAGCGAGAAAAATCCTTACAGAACTTAACACTTGAAGGACTGACTCTGGAATAGTAATGAGGATACATTACAGCCTTACTGTAACTGTCATGAGCAGATGAAACATCCCATTCATTATCATCCCAAGCATTACTCTGCATGAAAGAAGTGTTGTGATTATATGCCATGTCAACTAATGGGGGACAATGTAGACCGGCCATATGCGCACCATTACAAGCAGCAGGGTGGGTGGATTCAATTCATTCCGACACACATAATATCGATTAGGGTGGTGAAGCAGCTCTCTACGTCGCCTAATCTTGGAGCACATCCATGTAAACAGATGTCTCAGCTCGTGCGGATGTGTTCGCAGCACAATGCACGATCTTCCTCTCATCCCCTATTCAAGCTTGCTCGTACCGTGCTTCCCACACCCATACGTGCTGCATTGCATTTGCTTCGGAAATTATATGTTCACCCACATGACCCATGCAGGCGATAGTAACCACCATGCAAAACTCAACCGAAACAGTATTGGCAACTCAACCTTGACCGTATTTCCATTAAGGGGCTATAGGCCCCTGTGCTAAGAGCAAGTGCGAAATATCATTCACACGCACTAGTTTCCAACCAGTTGCCGGTGCGAAGGTCACCGTACTCACTGAAGTGTGATCCAGTACTATCTTGTGGGTCATGTGAGGGCTCGACCCCGTCAAACCCCGTAACAGGCATTTAATCGCCGTGCAGTGCGAGAATATGCCAATGCGGCACTTGGCAGTACCCTTGCTGCCCCCCTCTTCAGCCGAATCGCTGGCTTTGGCAGCCATGAGTCGGGTGGCGTGGCTTGTGGCGAGACGATTCAAGAAGCTCACCATGCGATATTCCACCTGCACCAAGAGCCAAGAGCACCGAGAGCGTACGGAGGGTGCACAGCAAGCATGCAAGAAGGAAGTCGTAACGGAGCACACTGCCAGAGCTGCATTCACCAGTTTTGACTATTTCGTAAGTTGAGTCCGAATCATATAGTGCATCAAGCAGTTCCAGTCCCCTTTTGTTTTAAATTAAATCGGAGCCCTACAGAGTACCAACCAATTCCTATAAAAGCTGACCTGGCGCTGAGATTCACCGCCCGGGTAGCAAAAGTCAGGCTGAGCGGCGGTCATCCACGCCAGGGCAGCGTCGGAAGAAAAGAATTCTGCCCGGGGCTTTCCCTCCCAGTGGCCCGCACTCATCTCCTGTAGCTCAGACGCTTCCTGTATGCGGCTGGTTGGGAATCCCAGCTCCTGTGGTGACGAGAGAGGGTGAATGGGGAGATGCGAAGGGGGATATTAGCAAAACACCTTCAACAGCTTTTTGAATGGGTGCGGGTGGGAAATCCAGCTCCTGGGCGTGCGAGAGAGGGGAAGGGGGTCCTAATTCGCAGCGTGTCAGTATTTTGCGTGAAGAGAACACTCTCGAGCCTAAGTTAGTGGCGCATGAAGGCTCCACGAGCCACGGCTTGCAATTTAGTGGGCTTGGGATTTTACCTGGCAGACGAGGTGAGCAGTGTGTGTGGCACGGGGGATGGGCGAGCAGTGCACCTCGTCCCACTGAAGCCTGAGGTAGCGCCGCAGAAAGGTCCCCAGCGCCACGGCTTGCTGACACCCCGTGGGGGTAAGACGGGCTGCTGGGGAACGGCCAGCTATGAGGGCCGGTGACTGGGTTGACTCCCCGTGCCTGGGATTGAGGCAAGGAGGGGAGAGGGGCGCGGGTAGAGGAGTACAAAGAACAGAAGGACTGGGTCGATTATACGGGGATCGACATGCGAGTTACCTGAAGCAATCACTCGAGATTATTTACCTGAAACATCACGTGGTGCAATTCATCTGAAGCATTACCCGAATGATCACCTGAATCATCACCTGAAGCATCACCTGAAGCGTCACCTGAAGAATCACCTGATGATGTGGAAATCGATGCTGATGCCACTGCTGCCGGCAGCCAGCATGGGGGAGAGCCAGGCGCACGTTGGTGGGGAGAGTGGATGCAGGGAGGCTGCAATGGGAGAGGACTGCTCTGTGTTTGCTGCTCTTGCTTCATCTGCTTCTGCTGCTAAGTCTGCGTTTGCCTCTGCTGCTGCCTCTGCTGCTGTCCTCGCTGCTGCTGCTGCTGCTGCTGCTGCTGCTGCTGCTGCTGCTGCTGCTGCTGCTGCTGCTGCTGTCCTCGCTGCTGCTGCTGCTGCTGCTGCTGCTGCTGCTGCTGCTGCTGCTGCTGCGTCTTTTGGTGCTGCTGCTCCTTGTTCCTCCGTTTCTCCGCCTGCTGCCTCGTGTGCTACCAGCGGTGCCACTTGTGCTGATAGAGTCTGCCCGGATGCTGCTCTCTCTGCCTCTGCAGCAGCAGTGGCATTGTTCACTACAGTATTCGGGGCAGAACCAGACGCATCAGTAGCAGCAGCAGCTGCAGTAGCAGCACCAGCAGCAGCAACATCAAAATCAGCGTCAGCAGCAGCAAGAGGCGCAACAGGAGCATCAGCTACTGCACTTGTCACGGCGCTACTAAGAGATGTGGCAGCAGGTGGACACGCATACATGCCGCCTCTGCCACTGCCACTGCCACTGCTGCCACTTTCAACATCTTCGCGATTCAAAGCTCCACTACCCATGCTGCCACTGCCCACGCTGTCCCTGTCAGCACTGCCCCTGCTCACGCTGCCAGTAGGGGAGAGCAGCTCCGGAGTGCCGAACTCACTGTCAGACTCCCACCCGCTCTCCTCCACACCAACAGCACCACCTATAGCCGCACCACGCCCCTCACTTCCCTCGTCAGCAGCATCAGCAGATCTGCCATCCCCAACCAACTCACCCCCCTCACCCCTCTCACCTGCACCCCCCTCATTTGTTGCAGCCCCCTCAACCGCATCCCCCTCACCCCACTCTCCCTCACCCCACTCTCCCACCTGACCCACGTTCCCTGGAAGCCCGCCGCCCTGCACTCCCAGAGCCACCTCCTCCCTCACACCCGCCTCCGCATGGGTACCATCGTCCGTTTGAGGCCTCTCAAAAGCCGTCTCTGCGCGTGCTTCTTGCCTACCCACAGCAGTACCCTCACCCTCACCCTCACCCTCACCCTCACCCTCACCCTCATCCTCCCCCGCACCTCCTTCATCCAATCCCAGAGTGCCTTCTGGCCCCTCTGCGATCACTGCTGTTGCCACCTGTGCTGCTACCCCAGTTGCCACCTGTGCTGCTACCCCAGTTGCCACCTGTGCTGCTACCCCAGTTGCCACCCCTGCTGCTGCCCCAGTTGCCACCTGTGCTGCTACCCCAGTTGCCACCTGTGCTGCTGCCCCAGTTGCCACCACCCGTGCTGCGATCACTCCTGCATGCGTTGCACCCTCTGTAGCAACCTCCTTCCCTGCACCTGCTTCTTTCGTCGCACCTGCTTCTTTCGTCGCACCTGCTTCTTTCGTCGCACCTGCTTCTTTCGTCGCACCTGCTTCTTTCGTCGCACCTGCTTCTTTTGTCGCACCTGCTTCTTTCGTCGCACCTGCTTCTTTCGTCGCACCTGCTTCTTTCGTCGCACCTGCTTCTTTCGTCGCACCTGCTTCTTTCGTCGCACCTGCTTCTTTCGTCGCACCTGCTTCTTTCGTCGCACCTGCTTCTTTCGTCGCACCTGCTTCTTTCGTCGCACCTGCTTCTTTCGTCGCACCTGCTTCTTTCGTCGCACCTGCTTCTTTCGTCGCACCTGCTTCTTTCGTCGCACCTGCTTCTTCCGTCGCACCTGCTTCTTTCGTCGCACCTGCTTCTTCCGTCGCACCTGCTTCTTTCGTCGCACCTGCTTCTTTCGTCGCACCTGCTTCTTTCGTCGCACCTGCTTCTTCTGTCGCACCTGCTTCTTTCGTCGCACCTGCTTCTTCCTTCGCACCTGCTTCTTTCGTCGCACCTGCTTCTTTCGTCGCACCTGCTTCTTCCGTCGCACCTGCTTCTTTCGTCGCACCTGCTTCTTCCGTCGCACCTGCTTCTTTCGTCGCACCTTCATCTATCCCTGCTGTTTCTTCTATCCCCTCAGAGCCCTCCATCCGGCCTGCTGTTGCTACCTCCGCAGTGGCCTTTTTCCCTGCTGCTGCTTCTCCCTCCGCAAAGCTCCCCTTCTCTGCTGCCGCCTCACTGTCACTGTCTAGCGCACCTGACGCGGCAACCAGTACTCGAGGCGACTTATCAGTCGTCCCAACACTCGCCCCTTCCTTTTCGGCAGTCGCCTCAACACTCACCTCTCCCTCTTTCCGAGTCGTTTCAACACTCACCCATCCCTCTGCACCACCCTCCCTCTCTGCTGCCGCCTCCTCACTGGCCCTGCCTAGTGTGCGTGATACAGCACCCAGCACCCGAGTTGACTTTTGAGTCGCCTCAACACTCACCTCTCCCTCTTTCTTGGTAGCTTCAACACTCACCCCTCCCTCCGCACCACCTTCCCTCCCTGCTGCTGCCTCCTCACTGGCTCTATCTAGTGCGCGTGACACAGCAGCCAACACACGCTGCAGCCTCACAGGGGACCCTGGCTGCAACGAGGCTGCAGCTTCGACAGCAGCCTCGGCAGACGCCTCGGCAGCCGCCATAGCAGCGGCGGAGGTTTGGAATGGAGCCATGGAAGCAGCTTCGGTGATTTCTCTGCTGCCCAGGACGACCCATTGCGCGCCCATGCCTGCGCCAATGCCTCCCCCGACCTCGTTCCCCCCAGCCCCCGCACTTTTCCCCCCTATACCCACACGTCCCCCACCTGGCCCAGGCAGTTTCGCAGGAGGTACTGCTGCTCCCCCTCCCGCTAACATTCCCCTCTCCCTCCCCATCCCTCCGCCTGGTTCCCCAAGCCCCCCAATGCCCACTCCCGCCCCCATGCTCCTTCGTTCTCGCAGCGCTCCGTCTTCTCCCAATGATAATTCTCCAGCTGACTTGGCGTGCGCGGCTGCCAGCGCTGCAGCGGTGACGTGTCCATTCCCGCTCGTCGCGGCTGCCACATCAGCGTCGGGAGCGACGCGCCCGTCGGCGTAAGTGGCGGAATCGGATTTGCTGAGGCGCGGCGATCCGCGCGAACCCCTCCGCCTGTGGTGCGCCTTGGACTTGCGCGCATCGGGATGCGCGGACACGGGGAGAGTAGCAGAATCGTACGGTTCCGCCGACTCAACGGAACGAGGGGAGGCAAGGTCAAGCGAGTCAACGGAACGGGGCGAGCAGATAGATTCGTCGCGGTCAAGCGAGTCAACGGAGTCAACGGAGTCAACGCTATAACTTCTCGCAAGGTTGCTCCCCCCTGGAGGACCGCCCCGCTTGCCGTCACCCGCTCGTTCCGCGTGGTTCTTCCGCCGTTGCTGCTCCGCCTGACGCTCTAGACTCGTTATTTCCGCGGAGCCTGCATCCCCCCCCAGCGCCTTGCGACGCTGTCGCTCTCGTCGCCGTTGCTGGTTACCCTGTTGTCCCTCGTCTCCCTCCTCGTCGGAATCCGAGACGACTAGAATGGACTCGACCGCTCCCATGTTAGCAAGACAACGACGATGCTAACTCTCTCAAGTGTAGTGCAGCAGCGTGCAAAGCGGAAAAATTCGTGTGACGTCACTGAGTACTTCAGGATTCAGCTGCTGCGGCGAATACGAGAATCGCAGCCGTTGCTTTCATGTGCTGCGAGCCTGTGTGCTTGCGCGATTACAGGCGTCGCCATGGAACGAAGAAGAATGACTCTACAGTACCGCAACGCAACGTCAGGTGAATTCCATGTTACTGGACGTTTCGGATTTCACAAGCAGTTCCACTAACGTCAGGAGGAAGCGGAAAGGACGACTGCAAGGTTTCGTCCAGACGAGCCCAAGGTTTCGGTTCTGTACGACCAGGACTCGCGCGTCCCGACAAAATGTGAACTGAAAGGAAATCTCGTTTGAGCGATGACATTGGTCCTAGTGTGGGACGAGACCTGAATTCTACTGCGTTTCAATAACGAGTATGCAAACAGCGAGTTAGTACACTATTCCGGATTGGTTCATATCACTGGTGTAGTTTTTCCGTTTTGCGGGAGTGGCGATTTATTGTGTGCATTTTACGTGCGGGAAATCAGGGGGTGCTACACAGGAACACCTGCACCGTCATTTTCTGGGGCAGCAAGCACGAATGGCATCCCAGCACCCGCCCCCCACGTCATATCGAGCCCGTTTACCCAATCGCACCGAGATGAACCCACGAAGACCACACCAGATCCCAGCTTTCAGCCAGTAAAATCACGCGCCCCTTCAAGCCATCATCCCCCAGGTCAATCCGACCTTCTCCCTCCAGCTGGCAAATTCCCCATCAACCTCCCCGCACCTCCCCTCTTCCCCAGCCCCTCAACCCCCGCCGCCCCCAGTTTTTCACCCATCACCCCCGCCGCTCCCCGTTTTCTCCGTGGGTGGGGGAGTGAAGATCTCAAGAAACAATGCTTCAATTTTGCTTCAAGAATGCAATGCCATGCTATGGCACGCTGCATTGAGACAGCAGTTCGTTAGCCAGATGCTTGAAAGGCCAGTAGCTCATGGGAGGTGCGAGGTTGATGGCTTAGTTGTAAGCGTGTGATTTCAGGTTGTCGGGGACGGGAATGCGTTGACTCTCGCTAGTGATAGGAGACAAACGTTGATTCTGAAATCGATCATCCTCAGGCGTCGCTATTAAAAAATCATATTTATTTGAAACGAAACTACGTCCTAGAAATCGTATCAGTTCAGCATCGTTTAGCCGGAGCCACACGAGGCCACAACCGTCGGCGCGTGGACTGACGACCTCGCGTCGTCGAAGCTTCATCGAGCGTCCTTAATGGTGCCAGGCGTCCCTCCCTTTTCACCCTTTCGACGTTTAAGAGTCACGATAATAACATTCTTGAAGTGATTGATGGTGCCGGCCATCCTTCTCCTTTCGCCCTTTCGACAGGTTTCTTGTATAATGCATCTCTGCTCTCTTATTTAATTCCCTCCTCCCAGCTCCGTCCTCTCTAGCACTTCCTATTTTCACATTTTTTCCTGTTGACATTTTTTTTTTTGGTTAAACGCAACTCACTTAAAGCCTGCATCATGAACGCTCCTGCATTGCCGATACCTTCTTTACATGCCAGCCGCTCCGCATTTCGGTCTCCTCACTAATTTCTTTCCTGGATCCCTTGGCGCGTTTTGAGGACGGCAACTGTTTGTGTTTTTTAGCAGTTGCACACTCCCTCCAGAATGACATTTCTCCCGTGGTCCGTCGACCCGCGTGTCGAGGGCGACTAGTTTGCAAGAGCCTATATATGTGCTCCGTGGTCCTTTGCTCTGCGTGTTATGGACGGCATCCGCGATTCGCTCTGCATGCCGGTCCTCCCACTGATCACGATCTTCTCTCCGTGATCCCTATTATTGCCTACCTGATCCCTCGGTCGGTGTACACAGGACGCCGACGGCAACCCGTCCGCCTCCCCGCTCCGAGCTGCTGCTGCCGGCCTGCTCGCGCGATTTAAGGCAAGTCGCACAGTCGCGCACTCGCTTCCCGCCAGTCAAGGCAAGTCGCACCATCGTTCCCGGCCGGTCAAGGCAAGTCGCACTCTCGCTGCCGGCCGGTCAAGGCAGTCGCTCACTAACTGCCGGCTGGTTTTTTCCTGCTGGACTGAACCGAGTATGCTTCCATGATTCTTCTCGATACCTGTAGGATGCTTCTAGGATACGGATAGGCGTCGAATGTTATTTATGATTTTTGCGATTCTAGAGTGTGAGTTTAATGGTATGAACTCGCCTGTGTCAAGTGCTCATGAATATCCTCCCCTTTCTCTCCCATCCTTTTCCCCCATCTTTCCCCCCTTCCCCCCTTCTCGCAACCCGTGCGTTCAGCCCGGGGCCCCCGCGCCAGCCAAGTCCGCCAAGGACGCGGAGGCGGAAGAAGCAGCAGCGGCGGCCGCCGCCAGGTTCCCCAAGAGCACGAGCCGATCGAGCAGCACCAGCAGCACGCCCACGTCCGGGGGAGCTACCCCCAGCGCCTCAATCTCCCTCCCCCTCTCTTTCCCCCCTCTCTCCCGCCCCCTTTTCACCTCCTCCCTCTTTTGCGCCCTTTCCTCATCTCTTCCCCCCCACTCTCCCCCTCCCCTCCCTCCCCAGCCCGGGCCCCCTGCGCCAGCCAAGACCGCCAAGGACGCGGAGGCGGAAGAAGCAGCGGCGGCCGCCGCCAGGTTCCCCAAGAGCACGAGCCGATCCAGTAGCCGCCCACGTCCGGGGGATCTACCCCCAGCATCTCAGCAATTTCCTTTCCTCCCTCTTTCCCCTTCACCTCCTCCCTTTTTCGCACCCTTTCCTCCCCTCTTCCCCCCACTCTCCCCCTCCCCCCCCAGCCCGGGGCCCCCGCGCCAGCCAAGTCCGCCAAGGACGCGGAGTCGGAAGAAGCAGCGGCGGCCGCCGCCAGGTTCCCCAAGAGCACGAGCCGATCGAGCAGCACAAGCAGCACGCCCACGTCCGGGGGCGCTACCCCCAGCGCCTTCAGCCGCGGGGGCGCCGGCGCTGCTGGGGGCGCAGGCAGCAGCGGGGCGGGGCGGCGGAAGGAGGAGGAGGAGGGCAGGCCGCGGCACAGAGTCCCGGGGGCAAAAAAGCACTCCGCGTCTTCCGCCACTGGTTCCGCCGGTGGCGCAGCAGGGGGAGGCGCGGACCGCGCGGGGGACGAAGAGCTGCTGCGGACGGTTTCAGGCGCGTCCACTGACTCGTCTAAGGGGAGAGGCAGGCACGCAGCAGTGCACGGGGAGGCGGGGGAGGAGGGGCGCGCGGGGCGGGTGAGGGGCAGCGGACTGGTGGAGCACGCGGAGGGGATGGAGGGGGCGCATGATGTGAGTCTCGTGGCTGTCGTTGACTTCCATTGACTGCCCTTGACTGCGGTTGACTGCCTGTGACTGCCCTGTGACACGGAGGGAACGGGTGCGCATGATGTGAGCCAGGTGCCTGCCCCTCCCTGCCTCTCTCGTGTGGCTTCTGGCCGTGACTGCGCTTTACTGCCGTTGACTCCGTCTGTCTGGCGTTGACTGCCGTTGACTCCGCCTGTCTGGCGTTGACTGTCGTTGACTGCGCTTGTCTGCTACTGACAACACTCGAATGTGCTTGACTGCCCTTGACTGCCCTTGTTGCCGTGTGGCACACGCATTGCGTCACTCGTCTCTGCGTCACTAAGCCCGTTTCCTGCAACGTGCATGTTCCACCAGCGTGCATGTTAAACCAGCGTGCATGTTAAACCAGCGTGCATGTTAAACCAGCGTGCATGTTCCACCAGCGTGCATGTTCCACCAGCGTGCATGTTCCACCAGCGTGCATGTTCCACCAGCGTGCATGTTCCACCAGCGTGCATGTTCCACCAGCGTGCATGTTCCACCAGCGTGCATGTTCCACCAGCGTGCATGTTCCACCAGCGTGCATGTTCCACCAGCGTGCATGCATGTTAAACCAGCCACTCTCCCGCTGCCCTGCTCTCCCAGCGCCCATAACTGCTACTCGCGTCTCCCCCAAGCTCCACCGTTCCTTGCAAAGAGTCCCCCCACCCGCCCCATCTCGTCCCCGCTATGCTGTGCCTCGTTTGCAGGACGAGGACGCCCACAAGAAGAAGAAGCGCTCTGCGCGGGTGAGAACCCCCGCCCCCCCTCCCCACTCCCTCCCCCCCCCCCCACTCACCGCCTGGCCATTCGCCCTCATGCACAGACGATCTGCTCTGATGTTCAAGCCGTCTCAAACCACCGCCCCACTCAACCCCACCCCACCCCACCCCACCCCACCCCACCCCCAGCCCTCCCTCTCCCCCTACCCTCCCCCCGCCCAATTCATCCAACTTTTCCGGCATTTTGTTCTCGTGCTCAGATTCTATACTTTGAACCCCCTTTGCTTGCCACTCACACCTCTCGTTCCTTGTCACCTCCTTCCTTCATACCTGGTTGTGCTTCCTTCTGGTGTAGATTTTCTGCCTTTTCGCCCCTCGTTGCTCCTCGTCACTCCCCTCCCTCTTCTTCCTTTTCTCTCCTTCTCGCCTCGCTCCTGTTTGCTCTATCCTCTCTCGCTCCACTGCTCACGCATCTTCGTTTTCTCCTTCGCGCGTCTCCTCTTTCCGTCCCGTCTATCCGTTCCCCTTCCCTTTCGCCCCTGTCGCCTCTGTCCGCGCCCCTCCCCCCCTCCTCCGCGCCAGAAGGAAGCTCTGGAGGAGATGCGCGCGGAGGTGGAGCAGCTGCGGGAGCAGCTGAGGGACGCGGGGGAGAAAGCCAAGGAGGCGGACGACAGGGCGCGCGAGGAGGCGCGGAAGCGCCAGTACGTTGAGGCGGTGATGGCGGAGCTTGAAGAGCAGATGCAGGCGGAAACAGGCAGGCGCGAAGCCGCGGAGAAAGCGCTCAAGGAGGCGCGGCGGAAGCTGGAGCGCGCGGGGGGGTCTGACGGGGACGCGGAGGGCGCGGAGGGGAAGGAGAGGCGGGGCGGAGCGGGGGGAGAGGTGGCGGAGCTTGAGGAGCGGTTGGACGAGGCGGAGAGGCGTTGGGAGGAGGAGAGGGACCGGGCTTTGGAGCTAGAGCAGGAGTTACAGATGGTAGATGAGGAGATGAAATTAGAGAGAGAGTCTATGAGGGAAAGTATGGCTGCTTATGCTAAGGGAATGGAGGATTTAGCGACACAGGCTGAGGATGATTTCAGACGGCAGATTGACGATTTGAAGGATGACCTGGAACGGGCGAATGCTGAGCTGGACGCGGTTAGGGATGAGCTGGACAGGGCGAATGGTGAGGTGGAAAGAGGGAGGGATGAGCTGGAGAAGGGGAGGGATGAGGTGGAGAACATGCGCGCGCGGGTGGAGGAGGCGGAGCGGACGGCGCAGGCTGCTGTTCGGAAGGTGCTGGAGGAGAAGGGGAGAAGGGAGGAGGCAGAGAGGGAGGCGGAGGAGTGGCGGAAGAAGGCGGAGAGCAGTGATGGCGGAGAAAAGGGGGCTGGGGGCAGTGGAGAAGAAGGGGAAAAGAGTGAGAAGAGTGAGAAGAGCGAGGAGGATGGGAAGGCAGGGGCGGGAAGGATTGTGGAGTTGGAGGGTGAATTAGAGGACTTAAGGGACAGGATAGAGGCAGCAGAAGCTCAGAAGGCGAATCTGCTAGAGCGGTGGGAGGAGGGCGAGCAGCGCAGGCAGGAAGCAGAGCAGCAGCGCGACAAGACGGAGGCAGCGCGGAGGGAGCTCGAGGCGCAGGTGATTGAGCTCGAAGCGCAGGTGGGGCAGCAGAGGGAGGAGGTGGAGGAGGCGGAAGTGCGGCGGCGGACGCTCGAGGCGCAGGTGGTTGAGCTCGAGGCGCAGGTGGTGGAGCTTGGCGCGCAGGTGGGGGTGCAGCGGGAGAGGGCGGGGGAGGCGGAAGCGGAAACGAGGGCGCTGAAAGCGCTACTGGCGGAGCTGGAAACGCAGCTGGGGGCGGAGCGGGCGAAGGCGGAGGATCTGGAGATTCAGCTGGGGGCGCAGCGGGCGAAAGCGGAGGAGGCAGAGCGAGCAATGGGGGAACTCGATTCGAAGCTGGGGCAGCAGAGGGAGAGGGGCGGGGAGGCGGAAGGGGAGGTGAAGGAACTAGAGGCCAAATTAGGCCAGCAGAGGGAACGCGCGGAGGCAGCAGAGAGAGAGCTTGAAGAGGTTAGATCCGAGCTGGGGCAGGTGGGACAGCTGAGGGAACAGGTTGAGGAGGCAGAGAGAGAGGCCAGGGAGCTGGAAGGGAAGCTGGAGAGGCAGAATGTGCGGGCGGAGGAGGCGGAGGGGGCGGCGAGGCGGGTGGCGGAGGAGATGGGCGCGGAACTGGCGGGCATGCGCGAGCGGATGGTGGAGTACGTGATGGGGCGCAAGACCGCGGAGCATAGGGAGAGAGAGGCGAGTGCGCGGGGTGAGGAGGAGAGGGGGAGACGGGAGGAGGCGGAGAAGAGAGTGAGGGAGCTGGAGGAGGAGGTGCAGCGAGGGAAGCAGGCGGAAGAGAGAGTGAGGGAGCTGGAAGATAATGTGGGGCGAGGGGCGGTTGGGGGGGGAAGTGTGGGTGGGAGTGTGGAGGGGAGTGTGGGCGAGGGGAAAGAGGGTGAAGAGAAGCAGGATGCGGAGGAGAAGGGGGAGGAGGTGGCGGCGAGAGAAGAGGCGGGGGAGTCAGAACTGGAAGATCTGAGGGCGAAATGCGCCCAGGCGTTGAGGTGAGATTTGCTGTGTGCTGTGTGCCTGTGGTAATGCACGTTGTGTTTGCTGGTAATGTGCGCTGACAACCCTGGAGTGGTGGCGGACGGGGGAGTGGCGAGAGAAGAGCTGGAAGATCTGAGGGCGAAATGCGCCCAGGCGTTGAGGTGAGACGTGCTGTGTGCTGTGCGTGGCTCGCACTATGTGTTGTGCCTTACTGCTGTGGTGCTTGCCTCTCCCTGCCTTACTCCCCTCTTCCTTAACCTTCTCCCTTCTCCGCCTCCATGCCCTATCCCCCAGGCAACTGGAGGACACAGCGGAGGTCCAATCTTCTTTATCTGGAGCTGCGGCACGAGCAGACGTTCTCCACGTAACTCCTTCCCTCTCCTTCCCTCCTTCACCCCACTCTGCAGGCAACTGGAGGACACAGCAGAAGTGCAGTCGTCTCTGGAACAGGAGCTAGACCACCTGTATTTAGAGTTGCAGCACGAGCAGGAGCTGTCAACGGAGGTGGCGCTGGTGGCGGAGGAGGAGTGGCGGGGGCGGCAGGACGCCCTCCGTGGGCTCACAGCGGAGTGGCAGGGCTTTCTTATCTTCCCTTTCCCCTCCTTCCTCACCACATTCCCGCCCTCCCACCCATCGTTTGCAGGCAACTGGAGGACGCAACAGAGGTTCAGGGCAACTTAGAACAAGAACTGGATCATCTGTATCTGGAGTTGCAGCACGAGCAGGAGCTGTCAACAGAGGTGGCGCTGGTGGCGGAGGAGGAGTGGCGGGGTCGACAGGACGCGCTCCGCGCGCTCGCAGAGGCGCACAGGCAGCTTGAAGCCCTTGGCGCTCTCGGCAGCGACGCTGCTGCCGCCGCTGCCGCCGCTGCTGCTGCCGGTGCTTCTGCTGCTGGTGCTGGCGCTTCTGCTGCTTTCTCAGCTGCTGCTGGTGCTGGTGGTGCTGGGGGGGAATACGAGGGGCCTGTTGTGGCAGAGAGGCAGGATAGCTTTGCGAGACGGAGGGCAGGGGAGGCGCCCTTGCTGCCTCCACGCCCCAAGCTCCCTGCTGCTGCTGACGGCACAGGAGAGCAGGGCAGATCCCTGCAGCCACAGCCGCAGCAGCAGGCCGAGGGCAGAGTCGAGGGCAGAGCATCGGGCGGGCTGGGTCTGGAGCGCACGTCATCAGACATGCTGTCGTACGTGCACGGCGCGTCGGAGCTGCTCAAGGGGCTGGCGCGGCCGGACGAGGGCGTGAGCATGGGCATCAAGCTCCTGGCGCTCAAGAAGGGGCTCTCCTACAGCCGCGCCGTCTCTGAATCCCTGCGCACTGACGCTGGTGCAGTAGCAGGCGGATCGGGCGGGTCGGGCGAAGCAGGGAGTGTGACTCCTCCTGGTGGGTCCAGTGAGGCTGGAGGGGCAGGGGCGGGGCTGGCAGGGGCGGGGCTGGCAGGGGCGGGGCTGGCAGGGGCAGCACTAACAGGGGCAGCACCGGCAGGGGCGGGGCCAGCCACACACGCGTCTGCCAAGGCGGGGCGTATAAGCCGAACTGCCTCGCGGCGGCTGAGCGTGTCGCTGCTCTCCCCGCGCTCAGCAGTGCAGCAGCGCTGGGAGCAACTCTCGGCGTCTCTCATTGCAGAGCGCGAGGCGCACTCGGCTTCAGGGCCTGCCAGGTGGGGCCCCTGGCTGCATGGCCGCGGGCCTTGGTGGCCCTCTGTTTCTCCTGGCGTCCCAGGTGGTTCTCCAGGTGTTTTCCCAGGTGCTCCAGGGGTTTCGCCAGGTGGTTTGGCGGCGGGAGCGGGCGTGGCCCGGGGAGAAGCAGGGGATATAGCAGCAGGGGCGGTAGGGGCGGCAGCAGGGGGGCAGTCAGGGCGGCATCGGACGGCGTTTGTGCACGTGATGCTACAGCTGTCGTTGCACCGAGTGGGGTTGCTGGAGGATCGTTTACAGGCGGCTGTAGCGGCTGCAGCGGCTGCAGGAGCAGCAGCTGAAGCAGCCAAGGCAGCGGCTGTAGCAGGCGAGAGTGTGAGTGGGACTGTTACTGGCACGGCTGTAGCAGAGGCGGCAGGAGCTGCAGCTGCTACAGGTGCAGCTACAGCTACAGCTGCTGCTGCTGGAGAAAAGAAGGTGGGGCTGCTGGCTGCTGCTGTGTCTGTCTTTGCATCTAAACAGCCTTCAGTCCCCAGTGCTGCTGCTCCTGCTGCTGCTGCTCCCGCGGCTACTACGGCTGCTGTGAAGGAGGGCCAGTTAGGAGCAGGTGGAGGAGCAGCAGCAGCGGCAGCAGGAGCACCAGCAGGAGGCACAACAGAGGGAACTGCAGCCGGGTCGCAAAAGGGAGGGTTGGGCGAGCCAGCAGCAGCAGCAGGAGGAGAAGGATCGACAGGTGGGGTGACAACAGTGTCGGCAGCAGCGACGGCAGGGGCAGCTGCGGCGGCAGCAGCAGCAGGCAACCTCGTGAGTTCGCTACAGGGAATGAAGTTCTCAGGCCTGGGGCTCTGGGGGGCTGCTAAGAAACCCGACCCTCCTGCTGCTGCTGCTGCTGCTGCTGCTGGTGCAGCTGTGGCAAATGCTGTTGACACAGGTGACAGTAAACAAGGTGACAGCAAGGAGAGCACAGGGGCAAAGGATGCGGCCACCACAGCAGCAGGGGCAGCAGGGGCAGCAGGGGCAGCAGGAGCGAGAGCAGGGGAAGTCAAGAAGCCGCTTCTGCATATCTTTGTGGGGGAGAGCGGTGCTAAGGATAAGGGTACTGGGACAGCTGCATCAGCAGTACAGGCAGCAGATAAGGCATCAGAGATTGCAGGGGCTGAGGGTAAGAGACAGGAGCAGACAGAGAAGGAGCAGCAGACAGCAAGGGAGGCAGAGGAGGAAGCGGAGGAGGCAGAGGAGGAAGCTGAGGACGTGAATGAAATGAGTGAGGAGCGGCGGGAGAAGGAGGTAGAAGCTCTCATGCTCCAGGCGGAGGCGCTGAGAGGCACGGTGGCTCTTTGCATGAAAGAATCGGCTGCAGTCAGGCAGACGCTCAGAGAAGCAGAGAGAGAGGCGGAGAGAGAGCGAGAGAGAGAGCAGGAGCAGATGCGGGGAGGGGGAGGGGGAGGGGGAGGGGGAGGGGGAGGGGGAGGGGGAGGGGGAGGAGGGGGAGGGGGAGGGGAGGGAGGGGCCGGGGAGGTGGGGTTGGTGGCAGTGGTGATTGCAGAGGTGGATGAGGAGGGGATGGGGGTGAGGGAGAGGGGCGGGCGGGAGAGGGGCGTGGGGGTGGGAGGCGAGGAGGGGGAGGGGGCGCTGGTGGTGGCGATGCAAGATGGCATGGCGTCTCCCATGGTGCGGGATGGCAGGCCTGGTGGCAGGAGGGGCGTGGACAAGGTAAGTAACAGGCAGATGGGTACATGTGCGTGTGTGTGTGTGTGTGTGTGTCTGGGGGGGGGGGGGGGGGGGGGGGTGGAAATGGTCTGGTGGTGGCGATGCAGGATGGCATGGCGTCTCCCATGGTGCGGGATGGCAGGCCGGGCGGCAGGAGGGGCGTGGACAAGGTGAGGCGGCATACTGACGGGTACATGTACAGGGCCGTGAGTGTGGCTGGGGGTGGGGGGTTGCACTGGTGGTGGCGATGCAGGATGGGATGGTGCGGGATGGACGGGCAGGTGGCAGGAAGGCTGTGGACAAGGTGAGGCGGCTTACAGATGGGTACCAATGGGTACATGTGCGGACGAGTACGTGATGTGATGTAGTGGGTGATGCAGGGTGGAGGCACCGCCTATCACTCCAAATCACCCCCTTATCACTCCAAATCACCCCCTTATCACTCCAAATCACCCCCTTATCACTCCAAATCACCCCCTTATCACCGCTAGCGTGATGCCGCAGCTCAGGGTAGCAAAACTTGAGTTTATTCTAAAGGCACCACCATCCACTCCCAAACCCTATCAATTCCCCATCCTTATCAATCCCATCAGCGTGTGGAGGCGCAGAGAGCAGCAGTGGAGGCCAAGGAGGCAGAGTTAGCACACGTGATGCAGCAGCTCAGGACGGTCGACACTCAATGCGCTCTATCCCACTCCCCTCCACACCCCAACCAGCGTGTGGAGGCGCAGAGAGCAGCAGTGGAGGCAAAAGAAGCAGAGCTAGCGCATTTGATGCAGCAGCTCAGGGGGGTCGACACTCAATCCCACTCGTACCATGTGCTCTATCCCACTCCCCCCATCCCCTTACTCCCTTCCCCGCACCAGCGTGTGGAGGTGCAGAGAGCAGCAGTGGAAGCCAAGGAAGCAGAGCTGGCGCACGTGATGCAGCAGCTCAGGACCGTGGACTCGCGCATCGAGCAGCTGCTCTCTGCAGAGCCACCCTCCCCTCCCCGCGCTGCTGCCACTCAGGTGAGCTTGTTTGATGTAACCGCCTCAGTGGTTTACTTCCAGTGGTTTTGTCTGGTCAATCCTATGAACCTTCTGTTCCTGCATTCCTTTCCGATCCCCCCTGCCCCACGCTCTCCGCCTTCTCTGTCTTCCTTTTCCTTCCTTTGAACATGAGCAGTACTCCCACCCTCGTTGCCCTTCCCTATCCCACCAGAGTGGAAGCTTGTTTGCCGCCACAGGCTCTCTCTTCTCCTCCATGATCCATCATGCCTCGTGCTTCCACCGTCTCTCTGCCTCATGCCTCTGCTGCTTGTTCTCTTATCCTCCTCGTCATCCCCTGTGTCCCACCAGAGTGGAGGCCTGTTTGCAGCTACCGGTTCTCTCTTCTCCTCTATGATGCCTCGTGCTTCCACCGTCACTCTCCCTCAAGCCTCCAAAGCCCCTATCGTGGCCAAACCCTCAACCCAGCCGAATCATTTTGCACAGCTACTCTCCCTCTCGCTCACCCCGTCTGCGACTGTTCAATCGGACAAAGGCACCACCAGTACCACCGGCAGCAACACCGTTGCACCGCAACCAACCCAGGCCGCTGCCCTCCCTGCCCCACACCCTGTCAACCTGCCAGCTCAGCATCTGCCACCTCAGCACGCACCAGCTCAGCAACAACCTCTGGTCGTGGAGCTTCAGCCACTCAACGTGCCACATCAGCAGCAGCACCTCCAGGCCCAGGATCTCACTCCATACGGGCAGCCCGCCGGGCAGCCCGGGCAGGTTCCCATGCAGCAGGAAACTTTCTACAGGCAGGACGAGCCAGCATACCCGGACGCAGGATACAGGTCCGGGCACAGGCTCGGGCACGGGTCGTCCGGCGGAGGTTCGCCAAGGTCAGGCTCGGGAGGGCTAGACCCAGGCTCTCCCTATTCGGACGACTACCCGCCTTCCCTGCAAGCTGTAGACCTGAGGTCGCCTGGGGGCCCCATGGATATGTCACCTGATTCTATGGGGGGCTATGAGGGGCAGGGTGGGTTCGGGTTCGGAGGGTTTGGGCTTATGACAGACATCCCTTGACAGACATCCCTTGACAGACATCCCTTGACAGACATCCCTTGACAGACATCCCTTGACCATCAGAGGGATCGTTAAAGTCAGGGAAGGGGCAAACATTTTTAGTGGATAGTTGGGGATCACCAAATTCAGGGGAGGGCTGGAGGGGGATGGGGAGGAGGGGGAGGGGGCTAGACCCGGGCTCCCCTATTCAAATGACTACTCGCCGTCTCTGCAAGCCGTAGACCTGAACGCTGTGCATTCACGCGACCCTGGATTTGTGGGGTATCATCTTATTTATGTAAACACTCCGACAGACTGGGCACATACGACCTACAGTGTGTGGACTGATGGCCGGCAGTCTATGTTGGGATTCGCTTGGGGATATGGTGTTGAGGGATTCAGTCTCCTTGGCACTTATTGGAAAAGCTTGGGGTCAGGCCATTGAGAGCCTATGGTGGTCAAAATGTAGTCAGTAGCATCGAGTGATGCGTAGCCAAAGTGACTAAGTTGGGCTCACTCTCCCATGTTGGGACGTATGGTTTGCTGTTGAGGGATCCACTCTCTTGGCTCTCGGGGCCAGGCCGTAGAGAGCACTATTAGCTCGAATGGGCGCAGTATGGTAGTCAAGGGGGGGCCTTCGAGAGCCGTTGGACAAAATGTCGACAGTAGCATCGGGTGATGTGTAGCAGAAGTGATAAACTCGGGTACTTTCGATCTAGGGTGCTTTATTGTGACTACCCTGCCTACCGTCATCGCCCGGATATAAGACAGTGTTGAATAGTAGACAGGGGTTGTCTACTATACGGGTGTCTCTTATAAACAGGCAAGCCTTTTTATACGACACCTATTTGTGTGTACGAGATAAGACATATATGTCTTCTAATCAGAACCGGGGTTTAGGGGTTTTCTTATAAACAGGGGGTGTCTTCTAAACGAGCCTACACTACTTTAGGGGGGTACATCCATACATTCATGAATCCCTACTTCTACCTAACCCCCCTCAGTAACCGCCTCCTCTGCAGCACTAGCAACAGGCTCTACGCCCAGGTCTGGCACTCGCCAGGCATGCCTAGCCGCCTCCCTTGGCTCGATCATGCGGTCAGCCTCAGCCGCCGCTCCGCGGTAGTTGGGGGTCTCCTGGTACAGCACCTCCAGGCCAGTTGCCACGGCCACCTCCCGCACGCCCTCCGCCTGCATCGCCTCCTCCTCCTCCTCCTCCTCCTCCTCCTCCTCCTCCTCCTCCTCCTCCTCCTCCTCCTCCTCCTCCTCCTCCTCCTCCTCCTCCTCCTCCTCCTCCTCCTCCTCTGGAGCCTTCCGAAGCAGGCACGTGTTGTCGCCTGTGGTCCCCCCAAGGGACATGTCCTCGGAGACATCGGTGGTGCTCCTGGCGCGCAGGTGAGACATCACCAGGTGGTTCTCCGTTCCGTCCAGCTTGCTGGAGATCCCACAGTGGCGGAACGCGTCGAAGATGATCTGCCTGGGGACTTGATCCCAAGCCTCCGCGATCCACTGCAGCACCACGGGGTGCGGAGGCCTCCGCAGGTTCCCTGCGGGTGGGACAGAGGACACGGCAGCGAGATGTTAACGATAAGGACACGAAACAGAGCAGGAATTTAAAATGAACAGCCAACTCACCCTTCTTCGTCTTCAGGTGAATCCCTTCACGCATGAACCACCTGGCGTAGCGCGCTCGCACGGCAGCCTTGAAGCACCGGTTGATGGAGACGTCCAGGGGGTTGAATCTGGCTCGTACAACCCGCTGGAATGACTGCAGGGGTGATGCTGTGCGTGCGGTACGACTGAAGCATGGTCTGGGTGATGTGGCCGCGGTAGGAGTCCAACACCAGCATCGCACGCCTCGCGCTCTTGCCGCGCTGGGGGTTCAGATGGGGAAGCACCTCCTTGGACAGCCAGGTCTGCACAGCGCTCTCGTCCATCCACCCGTTGTCCTGTGCTTGGACCACGATTCCTGCCAGGCACACAAGGGACAGACGGACATCAGCACAGTGGGGCACGCTCATGAGGCAGGGGCAAGGTTGAAGTCATGGCGCTTACCGTCCGGAATCTCACAGTTGGGGACGTTCTTCATCTTGAACCACACCCACGGCCGCAGCTTCTCCCCGGATGCAGTGCACGCGAGCATCACCGTCAAGCGCGTCTTCTGGTAGCCTGCAGTGCGGATTGGGACCGAGCGCGCGCCACGGTGCTCGATCGTCCTCTCGGCCGGCATCTCCACGAACAGTGGCGTCTGGTCCGCGTTGATGATACGGGCCAGGTCGATGTTGTGCCGCGCCCTGTTGATGCGCACGAACTTCCAGAAGGTGGGCGGGTGTTGGGATTATGGAGGGTGGGGTCCTTCGGCGCCTCCTTCTCAGGGAACGTGGGAATCGGGCCCGCCGCCGCCGCGTACTCATCGTCGCTGCCCAACGCCTCGTTGACGATGATGTCGTCAGGATTCGGCGCCTTCTTCGCCTTTTTCTTTGCCGCACCCTTGCTGGATCCAGGGTCTCCGTCGTCCTTGCGCTTCTTGTTGCTTGTGCGGCCACGAGCAGGGGCCTTTGCAGGGGCCTTAGCAGGGGACTTAGCAGGGGCTTCCACGACCTTTGCCTTTCCCTTCTCCGCAGCGGTGAGTAGGGGGCGACGCTCCTCCCCGGGACTGTCGTCGTCACAGAGCACCACGCGGGCGCGCTTCGTCGTGGACTGTAGGCGATGGCGCAGCCTCCGCTTCAGTAGCGGAACGTCGTCGTATGTCCCAAGGCTCCACGGGTCGTCGTCGTCGCCCTCACCCTCAAATAAGACGGCATCCGCAGCCACCTTGTTCGCCTCCGCCACCGCGTCCGCATCCGCAGGCGCCTCTGTCTCGAGTTCCGCCGCCGCCTCGTCGGCAGCCTCATTCGCATCCACCGCCGCTTCCTGTGCCTCAGCGTTGTCACCGCCAGCATCTTCACCTCCGTCGATGTCGGAATCACCAGCCCGCCACTCTTCCACCTCGTCGTCGCTCCCGACCGGCTGATTCCACCATTCGTCCTCCTCGATGTCGGCAGTACCAAATTCGTCGCCCGAAGCGCTGTCATCGTGGCCGTTCTCCGGCCAATCCTCCTCGGCGTCGTCGCCGTGTGCTTCGTCTCCGTCTTCCCCGTCACAGCTCGCACCGGAGGCGGCGGTAGGACTTCCCGCCTTGCTCGCGTTCTTCGCCATGGCTACGCGGATGTCATCGCCGGGCGAGTTAATTCGCCCGTAGTTATTCACCTGCACGTGAGGACGAGGTGAGGACTTGCCTAGGGGTACCTTGCTGCGCATGGTTAGAGAGCTTGCCGAGAGCAAGGTTGAGGTGAGAATTCAACCTCCATGAGCACCAAATGAAGTGAAAGCCCGACTACCCCCCCCAGCCAGAGTGCCCCATCCACAGGTGCCGAGCCGCTCCTCTACGAGGCATCTCCTCGTAGAGGACAGCCTGACGCTGCCAACGTGCTGCCAGCAGCGTTCTGGAAGCTGCCATGCGCTGCTGGCAGCAAAACGACGCTGGCAGCATCATTAGATGCTGCCAGCACAGAGGAATCTTGCCAGCGGTGGCAGCTTTGCTGCATCACCACCGAGGTCGGCCTGTTTCAATGAATCTGGTCCCTGGGTGTTTTCTACACACTTTGCAAGTATTACAGTCAACTTATTTTTTTTTCCATTTCTAAGAATTATAAGACACCCTAAACCATCCCGTTTACAAGATAACTCAAGCATTTTTGCCCGTGTACGAGATAAGACATATATGTCTTATATCCGGGCGATGACGGTACCTATTTGTCAAATGTATCTGCTTCAATCTGCATATCCTAGCAGGAACTGTATCCTAGCATATCACCTGTAAGTTGTATGAATTGCATCAACATATCTAAAGTAGCACGTGTAAGTTATGGTTTGCATCAGCATACCGTATCTAAAGTTGTGCTACTTACAGTAAATGTCTCATCCTAGCATACCTACATCCAGTCCACCCTCAGTAATCATTATATAAGCAACTATGAAGTGCGCCAGGGTCTTGGGTCTTCTGGGCCCCTCTTGGCCACTAGGGGGGTTAACCCCTAGTGTTACACCCACACACCACGTTGAGGTCGGGACCCTTCGTGTGGGACCTGCATGGGAACAACGGGGGGTTAGTTAACAAAACAAAAAACGGACAGCAGCGGCTTACCGAATACCCACCACCGTAGCTGCCGTTCGCAGCCTGCAGCACGAGCAGCTTACCCCTCTGCTCCCTCTGCCTCATCTAACCCCTCTGCTTCACTGTACTTAATCCTGTAGTTAGCATCCCTGTAAAATGCGTGCCTGTAGTTAGTGTCCCTGTAATTATCAATTGGTAATTAGCGTTTCTATTGGTTATGTCCCTGTAGTTTTCGTCCCTGCACCTAATGTCCCTGTAGTTATCGTCCCTGCACCTAATGTCCCTGTAGTTAGAGTCCCTGCAACTAATGTCCCTGTAGTTATCGTCCCTGCACCTAATGTCCCTGTAGTTAGAGTCCCTGCACTTAATGTCCCTGTAGTTAGAGTCCCTGCACTTAATGTCCCTGTAGTTTTCATCCCTGCACCTAATGTCCCTGTAGTTAGAGTCCCTGCACCTAATGTCCCTGTAGTTAGAGTCCCTGCACCTAATGTCCCTGTAGTTAGACTCCCTGCACCTAATGTCCCTGTAGTTAGAGTCCCTGCACCTAATGTCCCTGTAATGTCCCTGTAGTTAGAGTCCCTGCACCTAATGTCCCTGTAGTTAGAGTCCCTGCACTTACTGTCCCTGCCCTCAATGTCCAAAGCCCTGCCTGGGAGATTGATTCTCCCACGCAATGGACAGGACATATAATGGCTGGAAGGTAATATTGCCATAATAATGGCTAGAAAGGAAAATTGCCATACTAATGGCTATAAGGAAATATTGCCTTTATAATGGCTAGAAACGAATATAGCCGTGATAATGGCTATATTCCTCGGGAATACATTGATGGGCGCCCAGGTCTCCCACCCTCTGAGTGGGAAACCTGGGCGGGTAGAACATTTTGAAGGGTGGGGAACCTGGGCGCCCAGGATTCCCACCCTCTGTTTTTTAGCCCCCCATTATTATCATCCCTTCTGCTCCCTCTGCTTCAGCTAAACTCCTCTTCTTCGCTGCTTCCTCTGCACACCTAACCCCGTCTGCTTCGCTGCTCCCTCTGCTTCAGCTGACCCCATCTGCTTCAGCTGACCCCCTTCCGCAATACAAGAAAAACACGCGAGCGGCGTACCATGCGTGAAGGGCGCGCTCCTTTCTTCCGCCACACTAAGGCAACAACAAGCACACGGTTAGCAATAAAAAGAAAAACACGACAGCGGCGTACCATGCGTGAAGGGCGCTGTAGTCTCCTCCTGGCTGCCACACTAAGGCAACAACAAGCACACGGTCAGCAATAAAAAGAAAAACACGAGAGCAGCGTACCATGCGTGAAGGGCGCTGCAGTCTCCTCCTGGCTGCCACACTAAGGCAACAACAAGCACACGGTCAGCAATAAAAAGAAAATCACGAGAGCGGCGTACCATGCGTGAAGGGCGCTGTAGTCTCCTCCTGGCTGCCACACTAAGGCAACAACAAGCACACGGTCAGCAATAAAAAGAAAATTCACGAGAGCGGCATACCATGCGTGAAGGGCGCTGCAGTCTCCTCCTGGCTGCCACACTAAGGAAACAACAAGCACACGGTCAGCAATAAAAAGAAAAACACGAGAGCGGCGTACCATGCGTGAAGGGCGCTGCAGTCTCCTCCTGGCTGCCACACTAAGGCAACAACAAGCACACGGTCAGCAATAAAAAGAAAAACACGAGAGCGGCGTACCATGCGTGAAGGGCGCTGCAGTCTCCTCCTGGCTGCCACACTAAGGCAACAACAAGCACACGGTCAGCAATAAAAAGAAAAACACGAGAGCGGCGTACCATGCGTGAAGGGCACTGAAGTCTCCTCCTAGCTGCCACACTAAGGCAACAACAAGCACACGGTCAGCAATAAAAAGAAAAACACGAGAGCGGCGTACCATGGGTGAAGGGCGCTGTAGTCTCCTCCTGGCTGCCACACTAAGGCAACAACAAGCACACGGTCAGCAAAAAAAAGAAAAACACGAGAGCGGCGTACCATGGGTGAAGGGCGCTGCAGTCTCCTCCTGGCTGCAACACTAAGGCAACAACAAGCACACGTTCAGCAATAAAAAGAAAAAAACAAGAGCGGCGTACCATGCGTGAAGGGCGCTGCAGTCTCCTCCTTGCTGCAACACTAAGGCAACAACAAGCACACGTTCAGCAATAAAAAGAAAAAAACAAGAGCGGCGTACCATGCGTGAAGGGCGCTGCAG